AATGAGTAAACCATGTTCATGTTGCCCAATATTTAAGTGCGGGGGTGAAGAAATCACCTTAAGTGCGGTGGTGAGATTTGAAATCATATGGTACCTTAAGTGTAGAGGTGAGATTTGAAATAGATTTTCGTATATGGTTTTTTTTTTTGAAATACCAACAAATTTTAAGAAGTCTTAACAAATTCTATTATCAAATAATAAATGTATATTCATTTGAGATTTAGAATTTTTTTAAGATTTTTAGATTTTAGATGAATTCTATAAAACTTAAATGTAGAGAGAAAATTTGAAGTAGAATTCCGTAAATGATTTTTTTTTTATCCCAACGATTTTTAAAAATTCGTAACAATTCTACTCTCAAATAAGTTAAATACATCATAATTTCGTAAGACTTTTAAAATTTCAAACGAATACCTCAGGACTTTTAAAAATGTTAAAAAGTCTAGATTAAATACACTGAGATTTATGATGTCTTAAAAAGCCTTTAGAAATCCCAAACGAGTACCCCCCTTAAATTAAATATTTCAAAAGTTTGCATAACTTTTTAAAATATCAAATGAATAACTCGAAAGTTTTAAAAGTATTAAAATGTCTAAATTAAATACAACATGATTGTTGAAGTATTAAAAAATCTTTAAAAATCGTAAATAAAACTCTGCATCGAGTGCGTACAAGTAGTACTAGTAGAAGAAGCGGAGAGATTATACGTCTTTAATAGCAACATAAAACCATAGAAAGTTCGTCTTTAAAGCACCATGTCCCTAGTATATAAATCAATGTTTTAAATACCGTACCGATGATTATACCGGACGAGCTACCGGTAGGCGGTTCAACCGGTTTTACCGTGTATTTAATCTGTTTCAATACATATTAAATTAATCTATTATTATAATATAAATTAATAATATAAATAATGTATAAAACTAACTATAATAAATACTAAAATTTACTAAAATCTGATAACAATGTAAATATATTAAAATTGAGTGTAGAACTTTTAATTTATATAAATAAATTAATAAAAATATATTATAAATTTCTTTTTTATTTTAAATCCGGTATGCCCAATATTTTAAATGGTAATTTGGCCGATATTGTCCGATAAAACTAGTATTTTCCAATACGAAACCAATATTTTGACCAAAACAGTATTTAGAGGATAACCATACTAGTCGATACATGCCGGTATTTAAAACATTGATATGAATATAACTCCACTTATGCAAAAATGCCACATTATACAACTAGCACCGAGATTACCCTCGATGTGCGTGTTCACACGCCTCGCCTCGCCTCACCTCATAAAGAAACACCAAACAAGTCATTAGCATTCAAACAGCCTCCACACCAGTCTTGAAACTTCCATGCCTCTTTTTTTACACGCTCAAACTCCTCTTATTTTTTTTCTCCCCGATTTCTTTTAGTAAAACAAATAAACAATACTCCCTTTACCAATCTCCCCACCTTGATCAATCTCTAGGCCTAAAGCAATTTCCAAAAAGCTTCATTCACACATTCAATTATTTGGAAGCTTATGCCCACAAAAGTTTGCTTCATGTCAACCTCCCACAAAAGCAATCCCATTCACAATGAGCAAAATATACTTTCCCTCCCTTCAAATCATACTCTCTCTCACTTACCCCTTCAAGTTTAGCATCCTCCTCTCACCTTCTTCACTAAGGAACATCACCATTATGCATCCCTACATAATCCCAACCACAAGAGAGTAAAGACAAATTTTATCACAAGAATCACTTACAAGTACTAAAACAAGACACACTTACCAAATAGAGCAAGATGCAGACTGCGGGACCGGATTGGGGGCCTGTGGTGGTGGCCGTGGCTATGTTCATTCTCCTCTCGCCTGGTTTACTCTTTCAACTGCCAGCAAGGACGAGGGTCATCGAGTTCGGGAACATGTACACGAGTGGGATCTCGATTCTCGTCCATGCGATTTTGTACTTTTGTATCTATACCATCTTGATTGTGGCAATTGGGATTCATATACATGCTAGCTAGACTTGTGTTTTCTTTTTGTATAACCAATTTCAAGAGTGTAAGTTGTTCCTAAGGTNTTTGTTCTTCTCTTCATCTTGCTTTTATTATGTGTTTCTAGTTAGATTTTTGACATGTTAATATAGATATGCAGTTATTGCTGCATACTATTCAAGTTTCTTCACTCGGGCTTATTCAAAATTGGAAGAAACAAGATTGTTATTATACTCTTCAAGAACTGATATTGAAAATTTTGGGGACAGAGAGTTGAATATACTTTGACTATTTTCTATTGGTATGGAATTTTCATCTGGATGTTCAAATTCAAAGGCCTAGTTCAATAATCAGTAAGAGAAATGGTATAGAATATTTAGTTTGAGATTTGGATCAACAAGGGAAAGCAAACACTTTTTTCTATACAATAAACCCCCAGAAAACTCAATATCAACAAGTACAAATGCAATTCAAAGAATGTAATTAATTATTTCCATCATGCTCAAGATATCACTTTATCTCAGCTAAAAGATACTATGCCAGTTCACAAGAAACCCTAAATCAGTCCTTTAAACTCAAGAAATTCTTAAAAAGCAAATGCCTTTCCCAATTATTTCACAGCCATAAAAGAATTCACCATTCTTAATTTCTCGGTCCCATAATTATGTTATTCTAATCTTTCTAATAAAAAAAAAATACCAGTAACTAAATGCAGGGCAGCAATTAAAACCCGAAAAAGAAAAACCCAATACCAACAGCAAGTCAGCAACAGAGGAAGAAGAAAGAAAAATAAAACGATTCAAGCAAAATTAACGAATACCAGAAAATTCTGAAACTAAAACATTTCTGATAAAACTGTCACATAACACAGACGAGCTTATTCCATTAAAAGAAAATCACATTAGCCCCCACCGTGAACTGGAGACCGGATCAGCCGGTGTAGATGTGGACGTGGACGGCGAGGATGAGAACAGCGTAGAGGGCGAAGAAGATGAGCGTGTGGACGGCAATAGCCTTGCCGTTGGTCTTCATGCTTCCGAACTCCAGCTGGCGGTTGTTCCCCGGTATCTGAAACAGCAGCCCAGGCTGCAGCAGTATGAAGAGTACAACTCCGATGAGCACAGGGCCCCAGTCAGCCATTAACAATTTCCGACGAGCTTCCTTTTTCCCGAACAGTGATATTAACTATGCGGTGCGGTGAACTTTTGAGAAGGAGCGATTGAACGGTGAGATTTGAAGAGACAGAATGTGGATGCTGAGTCCACTCGATGCTTGGATATAAAAAATTTTGGATTTGTTTGGATTTTTTTGTTTAGTTTGATTAATTTTAAAAAAGGTGGTATGGTTAGTTGTTAGTGAGTATATTAAAATAATATTTAAAATAAAATAATTAAAGTTGATTTGATGTAAAAGTATGAGAGAGAGATTTGAAGTGATGGTTAATTAAAATTGTGTAAGTGGATGAATGAATTAAAGTTGATGTGATATGTAAGAATGATTGGTTGATATTATTTAATTATATTAATAATATTAATGATAGCTGGTTGAATTAAAGTTGAGTTAAAAAAAATGGTTGGGTTAAAAATGATTGAATTTTTTAAATAAATTTTGTATCCAAGTACACAATTTCTTATTTGGACTTTGGTCAACGTTAAATTCATTTCTTCGAAATTCTATAATTTTTAATTCTTTTTATTTTTCTTCGATTTTCAGTTTTTTCTTTTTAAGGTTAGTTTTCAATTTTCTTTTGTTTTTATGTAGGGTTCATTCTTTCACCTTTTAAAAAAAAAAATTAGGGATAATATGTATATAGTTAAAAAGAAATAAATGCAAGTCAACTGCATTCTTTCCATTATTTCAGCATAAATTTTATGAAATAAAAACGAAAAACTTTATGATATATTTTAATTCATTTGTACAAATTTTTTTTAATTCGAAATGACGGCATATGTTACTCAAAAAGCAGGAATATACAGAGCTCGGGGACCAAGTAGTTCAAATGCAACAATGCAAACAAAGGGTAAACTTACCCAACCAACAACTCAAACAAAGAAGAAGAGGAAAGAGAGTAGTAACCTAGCCCTCGACTAAAGCAAAGGCAAAGGACCCAGGGATTTGGCTCCTACTCCTCACCAGAAAAAGTCCACAAAGGGCTTACTCTGGCTGCAACAAAATCAAATCACTGAACTCAACAATGGCCCTAGCTAGCCTTCAAAACACTACTAATGAACACAAAAACAAACCAACAAAGGAAAAAGCAACAACAACCAAACACTAACTAAACTGCACACTAGAGAATTCAGTCCAATCTGTCACAGCTAGAGAAACAATAGAAGCCTCATTTCTCCAAATATTTGAAAATACCCAAATATAGCCACCATAGGATGTAAAAGGTGAGCTGCAATCTTGCTTCTGAGGTAGGGGAGTGGTTGATTGAGCACACCTTTAGCCACCAATGTTTGAAGCTGCATGATGTAACTTGAATTCCTTCCCAAGAAACAGAAGAGAGCTTCCAATGAGTTGAGCTCTCTTACAATGAAAAACAAGAGCTCGAGTATCAGGTTCCTCTCCACATATCTTGCAGATGTGATCAACTAACAATCCTTTTTTAAGCAGGTTACAATCAACTAGAAGAATATCATTCATTCTTTTCCAAAGAAAATGCTTGATCTTTCCTTTTATCTTCAGTCTCCAACCCCTCAATCTTTATTTATTTATTTATTTTGAAGAGTTGGTGGTCTCTGCTTGTTTCTGGAGAGTCCATCTTCAACCATTTTTCATAAATCAGTTGCTTAAAGGTAGAGGCCACAATGAAGATTCCTTTTCAGTCCCAATTCTATATTAGTCTGTCTTTCCTCATAGGGTCCAATCCTTCAATGTTTAGGATGCCTTTAGCCTCTGAATCAGAGGAGCAATTCTCAGTTAGGATCTTGTTACATCTTCTTCCATGTTCTTAAAAAAGTTCATACACCCAAGTCAATTCACTTTCTTTTGAGTTATCTATGTTTGACCTGTTTCCTGGTAGGTTAGGGACCCAGGATAGTCCCAACTTATCACTAATTTGCCATCTCTAATGAATAACAACCCACTCTGGAATGAGTCCATTTGCTTTAGCCAGCTGCCCTGAAGCTAGGAGCAGCTACTTCTCCTATAAATTGTGAATAAGTCTCCCCTTGGGAAGTGCCTAGCTTTAAGTGTCCTGCTAGCCAAAATGTTTGGGCTGGTCACAAGTCTCCATAGTTGCTTTGATATCAGTGCCCATTTAAAAGAGTGCAAGTCATGGAAGCCAAGACCTCCCATTTCTTTTGGTAGGGTGAGAAGTTGCCAAGATTTTCAGTGTAGACCTTTTGAGTTGCTTCCATTTTTGCTCCACTAGGAGCTTGCAAGGGATGAGAAAGCTTTCTGATTGTCTCATGGGGCAGTATAAAGCAGGACATTGAGTAAGTAGGGAGTGCTCTGAAAAAAGCTTTCAAAAGGACTTTTTTACCTGCATTTGAAAGGTATATGTTCTTCCATTTTGTAGTTCTTTTTTTAACATTTCTTCAATAAAAGAGAAGGTTACCACTTTTGATTTGCCTATCCCTTGAGGTAGGCGTAAGTAGTTAGAAGAAGTCTAAAGTTTAATACCTAACAAGGTGTGACAGATTGCATTTTGAGTGTCTTGGGGTGTGTTCTTACTAAAGAATATGGATGATTTATCCAAGTTGACTTTTTGACCAGTTATTTGTTGATAGTTTTGGAGAATGTATAGCAAGGTGCAGGCCTGATCTACATCAACTTTTGCAAATAAGAAGGTGTCATCAGCAAAGAATAAGTGAGTTAGAATAGGATTGGTTCTGCTGATTTTTATGCTTTTCAACTTTCCTTTTGAGAGTTCAGTTTTTATAAGGTGGGAAAGAATCTCAGAGATTAGAATGAAAATGTATGGGGATAGAGGATCTCCTGCTTGATTCCTCTAGAAGGAGTGACAAACCATAAACTTCACCATTTACATTGAAAGAGAAAGAAGCAGATGGAATGCAATTCATTATCCACAATAGAAAGGATGAATTAAATCCCAATTTCAGCAGTTATAATCTCACACTGTCCCATTCTACTCTATCAAAGACCTTGATCATATCTAGCATAATTGCCATAAAACAGGTTCTACCATGCCTATGGTTTTTGAGAAAATGGAAGTCTTCATGAGCACAATATTTGAAGCCCTTGTTGCAAGGCCCTGGAGCTCTGCTTAAACGTCGCCCTCAACCGCCTCTCCGTCGGTCCCCACCCCTCCGTTTCCAACGCCCTCGTGGCCTCCTTCAAACGAGCCCAGGCCCATCACCACTGCAGGCCTCCCCACGAGGCCCAAGCCCAACTCCCCCCCACCTCCTCAGCCCATCTCTTCTCCGTCCGCATCCCCCTCGACCACCTCGTCGTCTCCATTCTGGACGACCCGAGCGTCAGCCGAGTTGTGCGTGAGGCCGGCTTCTCGAGCACCTAAGTCAAAAACAACGTCGAAAAAGCCAACTTCAACAACAATAATAACAATAGTAACGATTCGCCGTGAAAAAAAAAATCGACAAATAAATCAAGAAACCATGATGCCAGATGACCGTCGTCGAAACCCAATTGCTTGCCTGGAAAGACCCTAATAGCACTGTTTTAGTGGGTGAATGCGTATCTGGTTTGGAAACTTCAATCAAGGATTTGATTGATCAAGTCGACCGTGGATCGGTTCCCGAGGATTTGAGGGAGGTGAAGTTTGTTACTATACCGCCATTTTACATGTTTCGCAACTTGCTTTGGGAGGAAGTCGAACGGAAGGTCGGTGAGTTGACCGGGCTCGTTAGGGGTTTGTTAGGGAAAGGTGTGGTTTTATATTTGAGAGATTTTAACTGGATAAGTGAGTATAGGGTTAGGTTAGGGTTGGTCGACGAGTACTATTGTTCGGCGAGCACGTGATTATGGAGATCGGGCGTTTGGTTCGGGGGATTGGGGAGGATGAAAGGTTTTGGCTAATGGGGGTCGCTACTCTCGAGACATACATGAGTTGTAGAAATGGGTATATTTCGCTCGAGAGCGTTTGGAGCTGCATCCGATCACGATCCCGGGTGATAGTTTGGGGTTTAGTCTCGTTTCTCAAAGGTACAACGACATTTTTTTTTCTTTCATTTCGTCATTTTTTTCTTGTGATGATAAAACGATCACAATTTTCTTCCATTTTCTCAAAAACCATTTTATAATTAATGTATATTTAATGCCTAAAAATTAAAACCTATTTTATTATAATTTTAGAATAAAATAATAAAAAAAAAGCGTCTTGGAGGTGCTAACCCACGTAGACGACACTTAGTCGGCTGGGCTTAGAAGAGCAGTTTAGACAAAAATTATTGAGTTGGGTGTCGTCTAACGTCTAACCTAATTTTAAGAACACTGAAAGTAACTGAAAATTTGCATGCAAATAATGATAGATATATAAAAATGATAATATTTAGATAAGATTAATAATAAAAAATATATATTATTAAATTTTTACATAATATTATCTAGAGAAATATTACTTCATATTATTATTATTGAGTTTCACAATTACAATAAATTTAATTAATTAATTTTGTTTACGTGTTTTGCATTTAAAAAATGATTTAGAATAGAGAAAGCATTTTATGATTATTTTATTGAAAATACTAATATAATATACACACGTAAAATATATTGTTACAATGATATGTTATGATGTGCAGAAAATAATAAGATATTAAAAATTTATCAAAAACTCAAGTATCATATATCCAAAGATCGCCTAGAAGCTAAAAATAATATCCAAACATCGCCTAGAAGCTCAAAATAATATCCGAAAATCACCTAGAAGCTGAAAATAGCTCACAACTCACCCACAAACAAACCACTATGCTAAACTAAAAATCTTGTAGAATTAGGTTTGTAATTTTATCCATGCTTGTTTTTTCCTCCTTTATATGGAGGACGCCGGAAAAAGTTGCGAAGCAGTGGACTCACTGTTTGTCCACAGATCTATAACTGGCACCCCTCCAAATCTTCTTGCACTATCATCCTTGATAATTTTACCTCCAAAATGACAGATTGGGGCCCGGTGTTTGTGGCGGTGGTTCTATTCGTGCTCCTGACTCCGGGCCTGCTTATTCAGATCCCGGCCCGCAGCCGCTTCGTGGCCTTCGGCAGCTTGGAAACCAGCGGGCTTTCCATACTGGTCCACTCCATTCTTTACTTCCTTCTCATCTGTATTTTCTTGCTTGCTATTGGTGTTCACATGTACATGGGCTAAAACTCTTCTCCTCTCATCTTATTATGTATGTGTTCTAATTTTGGGCAAAAATTATGTTTAGCTTTGAAATTGAATTGCAGACAACTGTTTTTTT